AGTAGCGATCTACAGTGATCAAGAAACATGCCATGGAATTTGGGCATTTTGCCAACTTTAGAGCTCAGTTTCCAGGCTGGGCTTGCCCTCCTGTCTCACCCTCATTGTAAACAAAAGCTCGTGGACCAGTTCTCAACAAGAACTATCATTACTAGTGCTAGTTTAGCTGTTATAACATATATAGTCACATAGAGCCAAAAAATGTGCATATACAAATTTTATGTAGTGTGTACACCACCAGCTGTCTATTCTGTGCATACTAGCATAAGTTATTGTTTCCTGTTTTGGACACTATACTGGTAATACCATGATGGAACTGGATAACAGACAACTACGTAAGGGCACTCTCTCTATCTTTTAACTCTATGGTCCAGACTTAAATTCGTAACTCTCGCAACTACATATCTTTCCTATTAGATTCAGAGTGTATACTGAATAAGTCATAAGTTACTGAACAATATCTTTTGAGTGCTAAAAAGTAAAATCACTACTGGGTTAAAATAGCCAGCCAGCCAAAAGCCTTATACCAGTGCAACAGCTTTCTCACAACTTTCCTCTGAGTTTCCTCCCACCTCTTAAAAACATGCTGGTAGGTGGATTGATTACTCTAAATTGCCCCATTTGGAGAATGAGTGTGTGAATGTGTGTGGTGCACTGTGATGGACAGACATCCCATCCAAGGGGGTATTCAACAATGTGATGTAATAAAATCCAGCCCAGACAGGACAGTCCATGCTCCAACTGGGACCTATCACCGCTGATTCAAGTCTGGCTGTAGTAACTGAGACTCAGACGTGTGCACGCAATATGAAGCAGCCCCGCTTCAATCAACTGTGTAAACAGCAAAATGTCAGTTCAAGATCGCAAGTCAAGAAAGGGGAATGTTTTTTCTCCCCTGGCGAGCAGGAATTGCTTTTTAAACTCAAAAATAAGTACAAAGAAAAAATGATACCATTTGAGTATGAATAAAGTTGCAGAATGTGTAAGAAAACATTTAAAACCTTTCAATTTGTTATCTTAAGCATAATTTACTCTCCTTTTTAAGCAGGCTACGACAACAGTCACACAACAGAGGAAAATTAATTCTAATTAAACCCAATTATGACAGTATTATCTAACACGTGTTCCTCAATTATTCCATTGACATTATTGATTTAGATGAAACATGAGGAGTGATACACACTTAAGTCAATGTTAAATATTAATTAATAGATTTCTTGAATATGTTTATGTACAGACAAAAAAAAGCAGAAACTGCACTGTATATTTTAGCAACCAAAGGAAGGCTGAAGGAAAAGTAATTAAGGAAATGCTTTAAGGAATTAAGGAAAGGCTCTAATTACATGGTGCCTTAATGAGGTGTTCTGTGTCCACAACATTGTAGGGAATAGTTTAAAAATAGTAGGAGTGAAATAGTGAAGTAAAAAACAACGCTAAAGAAAATAGTGGTAATGAAAGAATTTTCACCATGTTGATCCCTTAGTACAGGGTTTCCTAACAAGGGGTTCACAAAGCCCAAGGGGTTCATGGTGGCATTGCAGGAGGTTCGCGAGATTGTGATGGAAATGTCAATGGTGCATTAAAGTTAAGTTTTAACAATATATATTTTTACAAGTAAAAAACTAAATTAATTAAAACCATTAATACTGTAGCATTTTATTGTATCCTCATAAGTAAACAGTGATAGAAGCTTGCTTCTTGGTTACTCCTGGTTCATGTCATGAGAAATTACAGTGTTAGCTAGCTAAATCATTCATCGTGGCTAAAAGCGTCTTCATCTTTAGATCTCCTTAAAAATCATTTAAAATGGACAGCAAAAGAAATCACAAGAGGAGGAACATCCAGGCACAAGTGAGACAACGAAAGCTTCAAAACAGGGAACGTTCTGTAGCGAGAAAGAGTAATATTTAATATTTGGATTTACACGCATGGACGGTGACAAGGCCAAATCCTTTCCCAAGTGTGTGTTATGTTTGAAGCGGCTTTCTAATGAAAGTTTGAAGCCAGCTTTCTTAAGCAGACATTTGGAAGCAAAACAGGAAAACCTGGCCATAAAAACCAAACAAGGTAAGGCTGCGTAGATTAAAACAGCAAGGAAAGCTGTAAAGGAGTCCAACCTTTTCAACAAGCAAAAGATTTACTTAACATTAGCCTGCTTAACGTCTGCAGGGCTATTTGAGGCAAATAATTTATGGTGAAGGGGTTCAGCTTACAAATAAAAGGTTGGGAACCCCTGCCTTAGTGGAATGAGCACTTCCAATCACCTTCACTGGTGGATCATGCAACTCATAGTGGCTTTTATCAATAACCAAAAATTGGCTAATGAACCTATAGTATGTAGGCTACTTTTAGGTTTGATAAAAATATTGGTGTCTGCTTAATCTTTGACCACATAAAATTAATTTGGCTAATATTTGCTCCCAAAAACAGTCAGGCCACACACTCAACTGCATGGATTCTGTCACTTGTAAATGGCTTTGTTTAGACACAAAAAGAAACTTCAATCATCCTGTCAGAGATAATGCCACGTCAAACACTTCTCAATTTCATGAGTGAGTCATTTCTATAAATACACTGCAATGTTATTTTTGCATGATTAATATTACAGCAGCCAAATGAACTAACTGGATTTCCAAATGGCTCCAGACTTCCTATAGAAGTGCCTATGAGGTGTAATATAGGGAAGCCATTTGAAATTCAGCCTTGGTTGAGTTTCCAGCTATAAAACCGCTTACACTAGCATTTAGGTTGCATGGGGGTCAGGTATTGAGCTCATGACGAGAGTAAAACAAATACACATCAAATTACAAGTACACATGTGTTTGACTTTCCCCAGTGAAATGTACAGACAATAAAGCCTCTTTTCAGATAATCACCACCTGTCTCAGGATTCATTTAGTGGGAGTCATTTAGTCATTCAGTTTGCTCAGTCACAATTACTATTAAAAGTTATCTGTTATTTCAGGACACATAAGCGTTGTGGTCTGGTTAAAACCCGCTGGATATTCCTGTGTCTATATTCTGACAAACACCTATGGTACATCTAATGTTTTGGGAATTCTTTTATACCCCTCTCCTGATCGATACCTTTCAACAAGTGAGATACCGTACATGCTTTGTAAGCTCTTTGTAAACCATGGCTTCAGCAGTCAGATGAAACCAAGATGTCAAGAAAATCCTACAGAAACAGCTGGTCTTTATTTTGGGTTAATCAGAATAATTTCACTGATGACAGCTGTATGATAACTGACATTTTAAATGGGAAAAAAAAATATATTGCAGATTTTCAATGTGATCTAAGACTTTTGGACCCCACTGTACAATGGATATAAAAAGTCTACACACCCCTGTTAAAATGGCAGGTTTTTGTCATGTAAGAAATTGAAACTTTTTTGAACATGAGATTAAATGTGATTGGTTCATTCTGAACACAGCCACTTCCCCAATTATAAAAGGGTGTGCACACTTATGCAACCAGGCTATTTTTCTCTAAAATGTTTCTGATTGTTTTTCACTTCATTTTTATACGTTGTAATTTCACATTAAGGGTGGAAATAGTTCTGATGATTTATCTTAGTTTCATTTTCTTACATCACAAAAACCTGCCATTTTAACAGGGGTGTGTAGACTTTTTATATCCATTGTACAGTGGGGTCCAAAAGTCTTAGATCACACTGAAAATCTGTGAATTTTTTTTTCATTTAAAATGGGAAATAAACAGAAGGTTTTGGAATTTTGAAATATTTAAAGCAAAGAAAGTAAATGTTCAATATCTTGAATATTTAATATTCAAGATTCTGCATTATTTCTGGGTCCCTATATAAATGTAAGCAAATGTGTGATATTGACCATGTTAACTGCTTTGTACAAAAGGTCAGATTTTCCTGAATCTCTTCTATTGAAGCACGTGTTCAGACGACACTCTGATGCATTTGATCTAAAATGGATCATAAGGTTTTGCACAAACTTGTGGAGTCCATGCCAGCTCAAGTGCACACTGTCATTAAAGCAAAAAGGGGACATACAAAATACTAAGAAACTCTGAAATTCATGTAAATATGTCAAGAGTCTATTTTTCACTGAAGTTGTAGTCAATAATATAATTTGTAATGAAAATCATTGTATTAAATTAATTCAATTGTATTAAATGGTTGCAGAACCATGACTGTAATTGTGCTTTTCTTACACAGTGAATGTCAGGCTTTGGTCGTGTTGTTGGATGGCTGTGTGCCATTGCGAAATAGATACAAGCCTAATCAATGCAGTTTGTAATCTGTAATCGGCTGTCAAAAGCTCTGTCATGTCACCAAACTGAGAAAAGCACTTATACACTCTGTACAGATGAGTTCTGAAATGCTTGAACATTAGTAAAAATGGGAAATTTACAGTGTTAGTTGTGAAATGGCAGTGTTAGTTGACTGAAATGCTACAACTAAACTTTTTTAAATAGACTTCTTATGGACGAATAATTTATAGATTAATCAATTACTAAAATAATCATGAGTTGCAGCCCTACTTACAATGACAATCTGAAAGCCTGCCTGTTCTCTCTTAGTGAAGAATGTTCAAGCATTACAGGAGAGCGGATAAGGCCCTGTGCTAATGACTGGAATGCTGTGAGTTCAAGTCCCAAAACTGCCAAAGAGTCACTGCGGAAATTACAGCGACGTGCTTCACTCGGATAACAGATACCAGCCGTTAACTGAACATTTTCTTTATCTTTTCACCCACCTATCAGTGTGGCCAGAGAACAGTGTGGCACTGTAGGGGAGAACCTGATAATAATGAGGTACTCATCGTCCCCTAGGTCTTGAACTTCCACACATTTTTCAGTCACCACGTCCAGCTCTTCCAGAGTATTGGGTTTCTCTGGATCCCGAATGGTGCGAATAACATCTGAAAGAAAAATACACTAATGCAATAACTGAAGATATATCAACCCACACACCAGTCTTTAACACTTTATACTAATATTGTCCAGAGCCTGTAGTGAATTTAATGGCAGTAGCAGCTCAGTGGTTAAGATGTTGGACTTCTGATCAGAAGGTTGTGAGTTCTAGTCCCAGCACTGCTGAGATGCCACTGCTGAGATGCCACTGCTGGGCCCTTGAGCAAGGCCCTTAACCCCAACTACACAGCTGTAGCAATGAGATGAATATAAGTTGCTCTGGATAAGGGTGTAAATGTTAGGGAAAGACGTAGAGTGGTGTATATATATATATACAATATATTGACATTTCGCACTGTATTAACAGTTTTCAAAGTAGCCAAAGTAAAATCAACAAACTTTGACTCCACCACTTCCTGATTAGTTAGGGAACTGTTCAGCAGCTAGGCACTGTCTCTCTGTTAGCCGGTTAACCCTCCTGCACCACTTACCATACACTTCTAGAGCTTTCTCCTCCATTTTTTTGGACCTTCGTACATTATTTTCGCTAGAAAGTCTGGAGAGCTGAAAAACCTTATTTACAACACTAAAAATTATCTCCATTTTCTAAACGGCTCCATAATCGCGCTCTGTGACTTTGACACTACGGAGTCAAGCTGCACTTGACTGGGCTGCTGGATTAGTCCCAAATCTGCTCCCTGTGCCCTGGATAAGTGCACTTCATAGGCTATGACACAATGGTTTAAACGCGCTCTGTATAACAATAGGTATCTGACAGGGAGCGATTTGGGATAGAAGCCTAAACAGTTTTCACAGCCGTAACTTTCACTTCCTTATTTATATAAGGCTCGAGTAGATGATGTCCGATTTGGAGACCACAATAAAAAAAAGAAAACATAAAAATAATATTTGTTACATACTATTTAGCAAATATTTAACAAATACCAAAACTATATAATTATAATATTCCTCTTAACGAACTTGTCTCTTCAATCCGACACCGTTTATTCAATCTGTTATCTGCTACTCTTGTCTAGTTTTCCCAAAGCCTTAACTAGCTGTTGTTTTATTGGCTAAATGGCAGCACGTGACCAGACATGGCACGTGATTGTCAGCTGCGTTATATTTGTTTCGACTAAGAATGTTTTTTTCCTGTTTACTAACACTTGAGGGATGTCACCTTTCCGAGTACCTCTACAGATAGAAAAACGGAGCTTACACAGGAGTTATTAGTTAGTATACCTTATTGCGCAGTCTAGGCAGTGTCAGGTTTCTGAGATATATGTTGCATTGTTTAGTTCTGTTATAAAACACTATAAAACAGCATGAAAAGCAGGCCTGAGGCGCGAGTACACAGTGCGTTAGAAGTAGCTCTTGTAGCTGACAGTGGCCTGTGTGCAGATGTCGAGCACACGGTTAAAGCCAGAATGGCCGCTGGCTGTTCACTGCTCTGCTGTCTGAATGTGGACGGCAGACTGATGCTCAGTGATGTTTCTGAAGCTGCTGGTCCGGTGCATGTGCTTGAAGACTCCTGCACAGAGTGAGTTTACTGTCTTTTCACAACAAAACACTGTCTTTTCCCTTCATCCTGGTGCCTCCTCTTCTTACTCTTTCCACCCATTCATTCATTCAATCATTCACCCTCTATCTATCTATCTATCTATCTATCTATCTATCTATCTAACTATCTAACTATTTGTCTGTCTGTTTCTCTGTCTGTCTGTCTGTCTGTCTATCTATCTATCTATCTATCTATCTATCTGTCTAACTATTTGTCTGTCTGTCTGTCTGTCTGTCTGTCTATCTGTTTCTCTGTCTATCTATCTATCTATCTATCTATCTATGTCTGTCTATCTATCTATCTGTCTGTCTGTCTAACTATTTGTCTGTCTGTCTATCTATCTATCTGTCTGTCTGTCTGTCTATCTATCTATCTATCTATCTATCTATCTATCTATCTATGTCTGTGTATTTAGCTATCTAGCTATCTATCTATCTGTCTGTCTATCTGTCTATTTATCAATCTATCTATTTACCTATCTACCTATCTCTCTGTCTGTCTACCTATCTGTCTATCTACCTTTCTATCTATCTATCTACCTATCTGTCTGTGTGTCTTCAGTAAGCACTGTGTCCTGGTCAGGGTCACTGTGGATCCAGAGTACAGGGTGTCTCACAAATTGAACATCATAGGACACAACTGAAACACAGTGAAATAAAGCATTTATTTACATTTATTTACTTGCTCTTTGTATGTTCTCTTTGAGTCAAATCATTTGGATTCATTCTTCCTTGCTCAGATACATCGTGGTTTGTAAAAATATAAAAAATATTCATTAATCCTATGATACTGGACTTATGGGATACCATGTATATCCCGGGAACACTGGAAACAAGAGAAGCTGCAACAAACCCACATGGACACAGGGACAAAAAGCGCAGACAGTTTACACAGGCTATAACACCAGCTCAGGATCGAACACTACCTGCTTCACCACCGTCAAATTTGCCCTCTTTAGCTCATCTACACTCCATAAATCTCTTGTGTTTTTTTTTTGTTTTTTTTTCTAAACAAATCCTCAGCCATGTTTGCAGTGAACACCATATTTTTTCTTTCTCTCGTTTGATAGCTTTCTCTGGGAGATGTCCACTGAGCAAAATAAAGTGGACAAGCCCAGACTCCTGACTATGAGACCAGCCTGTAATCTTAGACTTCATGAGATTCATTCAGAAAGGCAGCTGACGTCAGTGTCCGAGTGTACTACAGACAGACTCCTGCAGCTTGTCAATAAGGACTTAAGTGAGTGTTAAAACATGTTATATATTCATATACAGTACTGTGTAAAAGTCTTAGGCACATGCAAAGATGCCTTCAAAAATAATGAAATTAAATGTTTCTACATTTAAAAAAAAACTATAAAGAGCAGTAAACAGTAATAAATGAAACAAAGTCAATATTTGGTGTGACGATCCTTTGCTTTAAAAAAAATAGTAGTCTCGGGTACAATTTGTGCAGTTTTATAAGGAAATGAGCTGTAAGTGTTACTGAGCACCTTGCAGAACCAGCCACAGTTCTTCTGGAGACTTTGACTGTCGCACTTGCTTCTTATTTTTGCAGCGAAACCCAGCAGCCTTCATTACGTTTTTTTGTCCGAAAAGTGTGTCTTATGTAATATGCTGCTTTCTTTACTGACATACAAACATTTTTCTGTAACATGTAATTTCATGCTGGAAAACTAATGTTTGGAATTCTAAAAAGTTTTGTACTGAATTAATAATGTAGAAGTCATAAAATAAAATCTATAACAAAGTTTTGTACTAAAAAAAAATAGGGACTAAGACTTTTGCACAGTACTGTATATATAGCTGTTATATTATGGTTCATTATGTTTTTCTTAAATGCTAAGCAGTAAACATCTGCATGTGTTTCACTGGTATAATGTTAGAACATTAGCCAGAACCTTGCAGATTTAACTTGCTATTATGGATTTTTTTTTTTTTTTTTTTTTTTTTATTTGGTAACTACTTACAGAAGGCTATGTATCTACTGCTTAGATCCAGTTTTAAAGTGTTAGTCTTGAGGAAGGACTTAGTTTACTGCAATTAAATTGTAAATCATTAAGTTACGACGACATTTTTTGCCTATTCAACATTCTTAATAGTAATATCATACTGTTAAATAATCATGCTTATTATATTATTGTTGCTGGAATAGTATTTAAATTTATCCGCTTCAACCAATCACCATAAACGGAGTACCTGTTACAGATGGCAGTAAGCTGGCCTCTATGAAACTGCTGTCATTCATGGACAGCCTCTGTTACTTCCTGCTGAATGGATGTGTCCTGGTACATCTTCGGTGGCAGGAAGGTTCTGCTGAGCCAGAGCTGCTGTCTTCCTGTGTCCTCAGCCTGCCTTCTGAAACTCAGGAAATATTCACTGACTACCAACTCTGCAAAGGCATTCTATTCGTGTTAACAAGCCATGGATTCATATGTATCCTTTTATTAACTGACATGTTGAGCAGATGTCAGTCTATTTTCTGTTTGTGTGAAACATTGTGAATCTGCTGAGAAAGGGTTTCTAGACATAGCAGGAAGCTTTGCCGCCTCACAGCTCCAGATTTACATTATGTATGGGGTTTCACATGTTCTCCCAATGTCTGCATTGGTTTCTTCGAAAAAAACATGCCATAGGAGGACTGGTTACGCTAAATTGCCCCTAGGTGTGAATGAGTGTGGAAATGTATGTGTGTGTGTGTGTGTGTGTGTGTGTGTGTGTGCGCATGGGGACCCTTTTATTAGGTAAATCTACCATAATAGATTTGTATGAACTATACAGTAACTGACTGTAACTCATTTACTTTTATGTATGCTATATGGCCAAAAGGTTGTGGACATCTGACCATCACAGCTATATGTGGGCTTTCCCCAAACAATTAAAGCACACAATTGCCTAGAATGTTTTTGCATGCTATAGAATTTAAGATTTTCTATCATTGGATCTAAGAGGCCCAAACCTGTTCCTGCATGACAATGCCCTATACACAAAGCGAGCTTCATGAAGACATGGTTTGCCAAGGTTGGTCTGTAGGACCAACAGTATAGGACCACCACTGCTGAGAGATTTTTTGAGTCGTGAACCGTTCTCACCACAGCATTGATATGGTCGTGAAATGTTGCACTGGTACAAGTGTACAGCACCTTTGCTGAGATTAACATAAAAGCATCCACCCAACAGCAATCCTGTGGACAGACCACTACTAGAGGATCAGCAACATAAACGGCAAGGAAAAAGGACTTGTAGTCTGTAAATGTAAACCTACAATGACAGGTATTTCTAGTAAAGTGGCCAATAAGTACGCAATGTTTAAAAGTCTCAGTGTCACTGCTGTGCTTGATACACATGTACCAGTGCCATACACACTACCATGTCAATGCTTCTGCTGTGCTCAGAATGTTAACCACTCAAGCAATATCTGGTCCTATGGTCGTCCCGTTTAAATGGTAGAGGGGATCTGACTCATTGTGCACAGAAGCAGCTGGGTTACCATCACTAATTACAAAGTGACGTAGTGTTTATTGTAGGCTTTCCTGATAAAATGGCCAGAATTTTAGGTACTTGGACAAGTTTTAAGCCTGGATTATACTCGCCTTTAACTATGTGTACATATACACAAGATGGCT